CATTAAATTGCTGACTAAATTTGGTAAAACCATTTATTTTTAAGTGACTGCTCTCTAATATGCACTGTGCCATTGCCTTTACTCATATAAATAACTAACAACTGCTGAAAGCTTAAAATAAATATATTTTAAAGCCCATTAAATAGAACAGCTAAAATTTGGATTGGCAGTTCAAAGCTTCAGAAAAAAAAAAGAGAGAAAACAGAAATTGGCCACAAAGCTGACTGGTGCATCTCTGTTAAAAAAAAATAAAAAATAAGACATTTTGTTCATAGATCTCCAGATGAAACATGACGGTTTAATAACCAGAAACGGCTAACAAGGTTTTCATCTGCTTCCTCATCAGTATGTACTGACTTTATTTATTATGCAGTTAATGAATACCCAGTGCTACAGAGATCCTTTCTGACTTTCACTGAAACAGAGAATAAGGTCGTTGCTTGGAAGGTTGTTGCTTTGAAAACTTCTAAATGTAAAAAAAAATTAATTTCTCCCTCATGTCTGAAAAGGACTCGTTTAAGTGTCTAAAACTGAGCCGAACAGGGTCACAAAGCCTTAAAAAGATACAAACATGCTAGAAAGATTGCTGGTGTACAGTTTAAATCAGATTTTTAATTTTTTTTTCTCCACGTGCATATGATCTCACACTGAGGAAAAACAGCGGGAGAGAGACGAGGGGGCATGCTGCAGCAAATAGACGAGTTTCTTAACGAGTGTGTTTCCTCGTGAGCTGGTCCTCAGGGATTGACCGATTTTCATGTGGGCGAGCGGGTGTGAATACATCCTGGCAGTCAGGTGGGGGTGGGGGTGGGGGTCAGCTGTATAAAAACAGAGTAGGGGGTGTGGAGGGGAAGATGATGGGCCAAATCTCCACCAATTAAGACTGAACTTCTGGCTCTGATCTGAGAACGCATGCACGGCCGTGGATCGGCGAGCATGTGTGTACATGAACAATGAGCGCCAGTTCCAACCGGGAGGAAAACCGTCTTGACTGACTGACGGAGGCCGAGAGTGAGGCAGAATACCAGAGAAAAACAAGACGTGCGGGTGTTTATAAGCAAAGCTGACATCAGGACCCCAATTAGAGGCCAGTGTGCTGGTGGAGGGATCCGGAGAGAGAAAGCAGCGGAGAGACTGTGAGCAGGAGAGTAATTAAGGCAGCGTGACGAGACCGTCGGTAATGTTCTCATGAGTGGGCCTGCATGGGAACCCGTTTCTAATATGCATGCTATAATGTGGATGACGAAGTGCAAGTGTGCTGTGTGAAATATATAGTGGGTTATTCGAGAAGATGGCAAATGTGAGGAAAATATTTAGGAATCCAGAGAGGCGAGATATTTACGCCACATATGTACGTCCGTCTTGACTAATGGAAGATATTATTCTGACGATAAGTTCAGGTCATTAAACTCCATAAACTCCCTTTTAGTTTATCTGGCGAAGCTAATGAACACATTAGCTTTTAGTCTGTAATTAATCACAATGGGAAAGTGTCTTACTGGCATCTATGTATCTGTGTAAATAACGTCTGGATCACACGCGTATATGGCAAAAACGAACCAAACCTCAGTCTGAAGCATGATTCAGATAATGTGACCGATTGTGCAACAGAGCTGCAACTAACAGTTATTTTAGTTCGATTAATCCATCAATTATTTTGACAACTAACCAAGTGAGCTGACAAAAAGATTGGCACATTTTGCAGATTTTTCATTTAAATATTTTTATGTAATGTTAGAGCTGCATTAAAATGAAATAACATAGCGGTTCATTGGAGAACGCAGGATCATTTGTAGCAAAGAATACATATGCAGCAGAAAAATAAATACTTTTAACATCAACATGTGAAAAGGTCGGCTCTTTCTGCTGGACTCAACTTCAGTACAATGCAGGACTGATCTGTCCTTTGCCATAATGCCCATTTTTAAAAAGGCATGTCATAATGTTTTAAAACCCTTTACAATAATCAATGGAAAAATCTTAATTAGCCCTATAGTCAATCAAACCTTTCACAGGATTATCTCATCTGCTTTTTGCAAGTTTCCACTAATATTTTGACAATTTATTTTTGGCTTTTAAGGCCTTCTTGCCATCAGTCTACATCACTGTGGGGAAGAATGTCCAATCCTATAAAAATTAGCTGAATTAATCCAAAAATAGACAATAGGCTGTTGTCAGCTGAAGATTTTGGCATGCTGAGGTGAGTCACTCTTCATCAATGCAGACAGGTTTCCAGCATAGCGCAACACAAGATCAAGTTACATTTTCCCAGTTGCTGCATTTGTCAAGTGAGTAAATTTTGAAGTTGTGGCGTGCATATGGCGTCTCAGAGTTGGGGCGGTCATGATATAACATTTCTCAACTCGTCCAAAAATTGCGTGCAAATCTGGCATAGCAGTAGCAAACGAAGACAATGGTGTTTACCGAAGGCAGACAAGCAACGTCTGCATAAGGAAGATGTCGACGCTGAAGTGTTCCAATTATCATGGCTCGCTCATTACTGCTTGTTCGAAGGAATTGAGCACTTCATCAGCAGGACTTGGTGTTTAACTGTGCAAACGAGAGAAGTGCAGACTGATGTTCTCTTATTAATCTCCTCGACGGCAAACAAGCAAACATATTTGCTGTTTATGTCTGTTTCGCTTCTCTTCTTGTTCCTCATTAACAGTAAACAGGGTTGAAGAATACACGCATCAAAAGGCTGTTTAGATCGCCGGTCCATTTTTTTTTTTTTTTTGTCATTTGTCCATATTCATTTTAAACTCTGATATTTCTCAGCTAAAGTCAGTTTGTGTCCATAAAGGACAGTTCCAGCAAAAACTAAGGTCCAACCAGTTTTACAGGCACAGTTTAAATCCCTTAACAAGGCGAGATTGTACTATTTTATGGGCTTGTGTGCATTATGATGAGGGCATGATGCTCATTAACAAATGCAAGGAGAAGAGGACTTGTATTGTTGTTTTTTCTCTTCTTGGCCACATATCAAGAGGCTAGACAATGAGCAAGTGACTGAATGGATGATTTTATGTAGATACAGGTATAACATTGAGAGAGTAACACAAAGGCATAGGTTTATAGTGAGATATCATTTGTGGTTGCTATTCACTTGATGAATTTTCTCAGACAGTTTTACCTACATCACCTTGCAGAGGTTGTAAATTACCCATGCATGCGCACACAGAAAAAAAACAACTGTTTTCTTCCTTCAATGAATAGGCTAAAATGCAAGTTGGGGACAATCTGACCTAGAAAATGGTACCAATACTGGTATTACTGACCGGTATGTCTGAGAGGGACCAGATGGGAAATGCTGAAATTCGGTTATTGCACTTTTATCCTTTGTTCACTGCTGCTTTGTTCCCATTTGGTGTTCCGGCACAACAATGATTGTCAATCAGTGGCCGTAACAAAAGCCGTGAGTGGTGCAACTTGAGCAGAATCCTTCACATGCTGCTGTATTGTTTGCAAAGAACTGACACCGGCTCAAGAACTTGGAAAATTTATGTTAAGGGCAAAATGCCACAGACTTCAGCTCAAAGTGAAGCCTGGTAGGTGTAGAGAAAAGAAAGAAAGAGAAAAAAGAAAACCCTAACCCAATTGGCTGCATCTTTAAAGCCATTTGCTCTAACATGGGCACAGAGAGAGCTCAAAATAAACTAGACAGGTTGTCAACTGGCAAACAAAGCGGAGAGGGATGAAGTAGAGGGCATCTGTGGAGACAGATAAGGTTGGTGTGAGAGAGTAAGAACAACAGGAGAGGATATTCAGGCTCTTTGACCTGAAACACCACAGCGCTTTAGGTCTTTTTTTCCCCCCCCTCTTTACACTTCAAACCCTCCTTCTTCTAACGTTGCCGTTTCCATTTCAGGTCAGCCACACTGCGTTGCAGAAGAATCCAGACCTCTTAAGCTTTTTCACATTTTGCTACACTGATACAAACTTTGTATTTTATTGTCTTTTTATTTTAAAACAGACCAACGCAAGGTAATACACAAAAGTGAAGTGGTAGGAAAAGATGTGCAGGCTGTAGTTGGCAGTCTGGTATTGACAATCAGAACTCCAGTATGCCATAAATAGCTGTATTTATGGCCATTTGGGTTGTTGAGATCATGTGGTAGAATGGCCCAGTCAAAACCTAAACTTAAATGAAATTGAGAATCTGTAGCAAGACTCCAAAATTGCTCTTCACAGACATATTTTGTCCAACGTGGCTGAAGTTGAAATATCTTATGAAGAGGAATGTCTCTAGCCATCCAAAGCTGACAGAGAAATACCCCAAAAGAGTAGAAGCTACACCTTATGGCTCAACAATAAACAGGCAAACCACCCTCTGGTTTTTACTTGGGGGTGGGAAAAAAAAATGAAAACAATGTATTCTTTTTCTCTTAAGTTCACAACCAAGCCCTACTGTGTGTTGGTTTGTCACAAAATGAAATCCACATATAATAATATTGTCATTTATGGTTTTAATATGACAGCAAAATAAATAAAAAAAATCAAGGGTTGTGAATAATTTTGCCAGACACTGCATAATCTTTTCGTCAGTGCCATTCACTGAGCACCTCATCCTCTCCATGATCATTCATTTCCTCAAATGTTATTTGAACTTCCTCTAGTACTCCTTCCTGTCCTCCTTACCATAATCACTGCGCTCTCCATTTTGCCTTGTTCGCAATCCAATCTTTTTTTTTTTCCCCAACAATGTCTGTTTGCATGAATAAATAAATGTGTGTGTCGATAAAGGAGCTCTGTGAGTGAAAACAGCCTGTAAGGCAGAAGGCTATTATTTTCGTCAATAGCATTGAGCAGTCGTTCATGGCAAAGGTTCATTATTTTTTGGAGCGCTCTAGCATATGGGCACATAAATCAGAGCCTGCCACAGATCTCAGCTCTGGCTTTCTCACTTCCATCTGTGCTGATGAGTTTAAACACAGCCTGGAAGCTTATCCACAGACCAAATGTATATGTGTAAGAAAAATAAAGATCAGGCATTTGCTCACCTCTCTGCAGCAGCATGGTGACCTCGCTGCCTTTCGGTAACTTGCTGAGCATGTCCACGACCTGGTTGTGAGACATGCTCTGCACATTCCTCTTGTTCACCTCGATGATGATGTCCCCCTCCCTAAGGCCACGGCAGCGAGGGTAGTCCACGATCTGCTTCACTCGCTGCCCTCCACCGCCAAGGCTGTCCGCGATAGTGAAGCCAAAGCCCTTGTCTCCTTTCTCCATGTGTACAGTGATGAGTTCTGGTTGCGTTGCGATGGACGACGCCAGGGTTACCACGTCACTAGAGTATCCGAGCTGGGAGGAGGTATCGGAGGCCACCTCGGTGGAGGGGCTGTGAGGTCGGGGGAAGCCATTGAGAGGCGGTCCGCCGTTGGTTGGGCCGTTGGTGCTCTGACTTCCTTGGCTGGATGGAGAGTCGTAGCTGCTTGTGACCTCCTGGCCGTTGACGATGATGGGATCTTTGTTATCGAGGATGGCCACCGAGGTTACCAAGCTGGTGTTTGGGTCATCAGGGTCGAAAGGCAGTGGGTAGCCGCGACACAGCTCCAAGTTGACCATGGAGCCGATCGGGATGGACTGAAAGATCTTCACCACTTGGGCGTGCGTGTAGCCCAGCACGCAGGTGTCATTTACGCTCACAATCACGTCCCCTTCGAGGTGGAGAGAAAGAGGGCGTGTAGTGACTGAAACGGAACCAGTTCTCCCCTTCTTCGCAAATAATAAACGCAACGGCACCAACCTGTCTCCATCTTCCCATCAAGGGCTGCCGGTCCATCCAGAACCAAACTCTTTATCTGCAAGAACTCATCCGGCTCGTCCCCTCCAACAACGGTGAACCCAAACCCTCGACGGCTCTTCTTCAGTTTGGTATTGATGAAGGTCCCGTTCAGCTCTGAACGGTTCCTAGTAAAGAAAGGCTTCCCACCTGAACACAAAGATAATGCTGCTTTAATTACTCTCATGTGAAAAAACACAAACTCAATTAGGCCTAACAGGATTTGGTGTGGATCCTTTAGAGAGCTGCTAGAGTCTTAAAATGTGGTCTACGTCTGCTAGCATTGGCCAAACACAATGACACTCAACGTCGGCCTCCCTGCAAACACAAGGTTTTAAGTATATCCTTTTTGATTAAGCCGTGCCAAAGCTTCTCCCATAAGCTGTCTGCCTACAGTCAACGCGCTCTTTTGGCGAAGCATTATAGAGGTGTGGGTAATGGAACAAATCCAAGCTGTTTTTCTGCTTCTTGTCTGTTTAGCCTGACGTGATTACTCTTTTAAAGTAGGCCTGATCCAAATAACAAATAGCCAGGACAACCCCTGGCATGAGATCTGGTAATATGATGCCAGAATAAATCTGCCTTGTAACGCTGCCAACCAGAAGAAGACTTTATCTGGCAAAATAAGTCAGAGACTCTTATTGTGAAGAAATAAAGAAAATAATCCTTGAATAGGTGCATTGTGCCGACAGACGCTAAAATGTTCCTCTTTAGTAATCCTGCAGTTTTAGGTCCTTTTAATGAGGTGGCAGGAAAAGTATCAGCACTATTAAGCAGAGAGTAGCACACTCCCTCCATCTTTTGCTGTGCACTGCCAGTCAGACTCCTTCATGTGTTTAAGGGTGTCCTGCTAGGAGATGCGTAGCTCAAGGTATCCTCCTCAACTCTGACCAGCTTCCCTCTCCCTGCTGAATAGAGCCTTCCCCCATAATGTGATACTGCCACCTCTTTGTTTCATTACGAGTTTGTTGCGTTTAAGATTTTTATGCCACATGCAAAGTTTTACTTTTAGGTCCAAACAGAAAAAAAAAACCCGTCAGGTTTTGGTCTTATCCGAACGTAGCACCTTCTTCCACATGTTTGCAAAGTCCCAGTCACGAATTGCGGAAAATCTCTGAAGATGTTCTAGTCATGCAAGCACGGACAGTGTGTTTTAGATCTCAAATTAGAAAGCTGTGGGGGTCAGGGTTTTCAAGCTGCCGAGTACAACCAATAGCCAGTCCAAACGGACGCCACAGACTCCCTGTGCTACTCTATAAACAGCAGAATTTATTTTACAAAAATAAACACGTTTAGAACAGAACAACAACTAAAATTTGACAGTTTTGCTTCTATATTTTTGCACAATTTATAACAAGTCTGTTTCTACTAAAAGACGGTTGATTGTGTTATACATTT